GGGATATAAATAGCCAGCTCTTCCGAAGATTTTTTTTCCTGCTTTGAGGAGTATTCCGAACTAAGTCACAAGTGGTTGCTTGAATTGGAAAATTGAAAATTGATTTATAAAGGAAAACTACCCCACCTCATTCAATAATCTTCAACGGATTTTGCATTGACTTAATTTTAATCCAGGGACGTATTAGTCAGTTCCTTTTAATAGTTTTAAAAAATGATTTATTTTGTTACTCTGAATTTGTAGTAATAATTAAATTTTTTTCACTATTGATTTCTCTTGGCATTTATTGATTGATTTGCATCATTCTGATTAATATGATTTCATGACGCTCGCGGTCATTGCTATAAATATGCATCCTTCTACGGATCGATTTTCGCGATCGCTTTTGCAGCTTTTTTGAACCACCTTAGACCACCCAACCTTGGTTAAAACCTGGTTTAAACCGACTTTTACTGAAAATTCGATCCCTTAGGGCCGCGTCAAGGAACGAGACACAATGGGAATACAGAATGGGAAACAAACCTTGAAGTAACTCACAAAAAGAAAATCGTAAATTTGTTTACCCGACTACATTTGAAAAAATAGGACTGTTATTAAGTTCAAAGATATACAACACAAAGCGTTTTAAATGTTTTTAAACAGATTCATGCAACATCAGAATATTGTTGTCATTTGTTGTGAGTCACTCGTGTCAACTTCCTAATGTATGAGTGCCTTCGTAACAACAATAMTTTCTTCTTCACCCAAATGGTAAATTTACTGTACGTAAATTGACATGTCAAGAAAGTCCTCGTGCGTGGCTTGAATTAATTATATCAGAATTCTTTCTTATTTTAGAAGTTACAYTTGATAACAATGTTTATTAGCGTAAAAATAAGTATTATTTAAGCTCTAGTAACTACTCTCAGCGCTWCGTTGAAAAACATAACCGATTGAAAAAGACTAATGGAATATGCGACTAAGTKATGACGGTGAATTGGGCATTTTAAAAACCTTATGATAACAAGTTCAAAACTCCAAAAATTGAAAAGGATTGAAGGGTACACTAGACATCTTAAAACCTGTTCCCAGCCAATGTAAACAGTGTAAAAATTGATTTAAATAAYTACGATTGGAGATGATGTTGAGCATCAAGTGCTTACATTTAGTTGAAAGGGGAAAAATGAACGCTTTCAGCGGCAAGAAAAAGAAAATATAATGCAAAAAATTGCAAGCATATATAATCATTACGGCGCAATTCGTTGGTATTTAGAATTTTCCGTGATAGCGTCTTACACCAGACAGAACAAACAAACAAAGAAACAAACAGTTTAAACTTTGAACTTTGACTCGTTCGTCTTCTTACCTCCCAAAACCTGAGCAAAAATATAGACTAACCCCTCGATTGGATGAATTCGCTKGGTCAGTATAAAGCTCAGCGATACCACCGGGTTGATTTGTCCACCAGTGAGATGACCGATGGCTGTTGCGAGAACAGTAATACTYAAGCCGGCAGTGATAGCAATGTGGAGTACATTAGGCGACGGCCATGATGGAGTAATTAACGTCGCCCCTATAACGTTGAAAACAAAGAAACACGTAGACAGAAGCTCAGCCGCGAAACCAACCCATAATYGTCTGAATTTTTCTTTAGCGCTCATTTCAGAGTGTTTGTTGTTGTCTCGATAGTGTTTAGTGATGAAATACAGCGTCTAAATCGGCTTTACATCACTTGAAATATTGCTTGACGTATTTAGAGTGTTTGACGACACTTACAGAGACACAATGCTGTCCATGTTACATCAATCAAAGCATCTGTCATGACCTTAACTGTAGTTCCCTTTATACGACGATTCGTTGCAATTCACTTCTAGATTAAATATGGTGATAACGCATCGATTTACTGGATCAAAAATAGACCATTTTCATGTTTTTAATGAATTAATTATTGATGTTTTAAATATCCGCTTGTTTTATGATAATTGATTCAATACGAGTATCAAAAATATATACATCCTGCTAGCATGGTAAAAACAATAATGGCTTACTTTTTGTTTCATGCTAGTGTAACATAAGTTGAACAGCACTCGTTCAATGACAAGATTACTAAAATTCACAATATTTCAGGTTTACAAAATGAGAACGACAAAATCAAATGACGAAAGAAAATTGATTAATGATGTGCGAATACAAATTAGACACGTGCGTTATCGTAATTTCCAAGACACCCTTAAGCACTGTTAAAGGTTTTTCATCATTTTAAATAGACCATTTGAGGTCATTTGGCTATGTAGTATAAACTAAATTTAATGAAATCTTCTTTTAGCAATGGTTTCCCAGATCTATCATAAAATTGCTGTATTTTCCATGATCGAGAGGATTAACTTTATCATTTTCTATCTTGATTCTCCGCTTGGTTGAGACAGAGGAACTCTTTTTGATTTAGAAGATTATCTGATGTTTGTTTTTTAAAAGCTAAGTTCAGTCAGTCTTTCTGATTACTCTCTTCTCGTTCACCTCATGCAGAGATCAATTGATTTTAATAATAATGACAAGTATAAATTAGAAGAAAAAACATGTACATGCTAAGGGACTATATACAAACACGAGTGTGATAGGTCACGTCGGGAAATGCTATACACCTGTATACTATACAAGACGTTTTATTGATTGAGATAGCAAAATAAACAAGATAGAAGTTGTTGATTGTGATGTTTGTGTTGGAAATATGCCGGATATTTTTACTAAAAAAAGTAAGTTTACATTATCAGAAACTCAAACATTGTCGACTGAATATTTTTATTAAAATATATAGTAATCACTTGACATTAAATCGCCATCTTTAGTACCTCGTTGTTAAATTACGAAATAAAAAGGGAACATGTCTTTATTTACATKATCAAATATAAATCACACACAAATGCTTTTCACTGATACTGACTTTAAGTTTTTGCTATCAATTTTTGACTGTTGTTCTCGTTTAACTCTGATATTTAAGATTAAGGACATTATTTTGAATAAAAATAAACGAAGTTATATGATAAACACTGAAATCGGTTCCTTTACTATGGCATTTAAAGTTATTATGATGCGCTGGAGTCACTGCCATTCTGTATGATGTGTTGGTTAGCAGGAGCAAAAATCTTGTATTGAATTCTTCACATACGAGAAACTTCTTTCTGCTGCAAACATTAATCCAATATAATCATCAAAGATTAGACATTCAGATAAAATGGAAACGTGACTCATTATAAATAAAACGTGACTTGAATCTTGGACCGTTAAGAGACCTTTGCTAATRCACTAAACTGGATTTAAAAGGCTGACATTGAACGTTCATGAGGAGATAATTTGTTACCCAGAACACTAGGATTCACTGAATTTTGATTTCTAAAAACTACCCWCAATGCATATCGATCTTAAGAACGACCATTTTTTGGTTKAAAAATCGACGTTAGAGAAAATAGTTTGTTATAAATTTTTACTTTGAATTAATAGATTGGTCCTCAAACGGAAAAGACAATGTTGTAGAGTATCAGAGAGACATATAGCGACATTTGTTGTAAAATAAAATCATTGTATCAGTTGTATAGATGTACTCGGTTATGGTTTAAAACCGTGTGACCAGGAATTACCCGAGAAATAGACGAAACAAAGCCAAAGAATCTACTTGAGGAAGGCTTTATTGCCATGTTCATATAACATGGACGTAATGACATAATGTACACTCAAAAACTATTTATAAAATATAAACACTTTTAAAAATCCTTAAAATTTCTAAATTATTTCATAGGAATAGATAAAAAAGAGAAAAGAGGATAAAGACAGAAACATTAAAATAACAAACAAAAAAAGAAAAACGGAAGAAAATAACAGTCTCGGAGCCTTTGGTCGTCGGGAAAGTGAGTTATATGTTCAGGTAGACGTTCTTCTTGCTTTACTTGTTATTATTGATGGTAACATTGCTTAATACGACAGCATCCATATTGCCTTCAGATTGGCCTTGTTCTGTACGAGCACGGAATACAGTCACATAGAATAAACTAGCAACGAGTGCTCCACCCATAGGACCAACCCAGTATACCTGATARATAAAATCAATGTTAGTAGAACGGTTAAAGAATTCAACAAATAGCATATGAATATTACKATCAGATCTGCATGTTCCAGATTCCCAGTTTTCACTCCTTGTTATTTTATTYATWYATTTTTTATTCAGTTWATTTATATCTTTTTTGCACAATTTTTGATCGTACATGTTCATAATCTTTTCAACACTCATTTGGCAGTATTACTGSTCTATGTAATTCCGTTCTTCGTAAAATGTTKYAAGTCTGTACTCACCCAGTGGTCTGTCCAGAYTTCCATAACAACAGCGGGCCCAAGTGATCTAGCAGGATTGATACCACATCCAGTAAAACGTATCTAAATTGAATAATCACAATAACTATTGAAAGTCCTTACAAATAACAATAGTTATCATACATTCTAGAACTCGTTTATAATTCATGAGCTATTAGACCAATGAGCATCGGGACTATTGGATCCCTTGATGTGCCTTTATATACCGATAAAGCATATCACGTTGGAGCTACAATTATTTATGTCTTTAGGAGCTCTTTTTGACAATCAAGTTTGATATTGCAAAATCCAGAAGCAGCTCTTGAATCTCAGGCGATCATGAGGAAAATAGTGGATATGACGTCACAAGATTCAATATGGCGGCGGCACAGTGCACATTCGAATGGTTCGGTGCTTCTGATAGCTTGATAGACAAATATATTTTTCTCGTGCCCAGACCTACGGCCGCTGACGAAGTATAGTCTCGGTTGCTGTGMGTGTAGATTTGTTTTATTTTCATGTCAGAGTTTGTGCGACGTCATCGTAATACCGTTTGGAAAATGAATATTCCGCTCCTATAACTTGTTTAACTAGAGTTTTATAGTGCCAATTACTCCAGACGCTTAAAATGTGGTAACTTATGTGATCCCACTTGCTCTTACTCTGACGTTCGCGCATGTGCAGGTCTAGACTTTCACAAAGTATCTTTAGCCCCCTGGCTCCGCGCTCGCNGTTAAAGAGGAAGTTGGAGGACGATGTAAGAAGTTCAGGCATCAAAGTCAAAATCGTGGAGAAAGCTGGCGTAAGTGTGAAACGGATGTTACAAAGATCGGATCCGTTCAAGGAGAGAGCGTGTAGACGAGAGGATTGCTTTGTTTGCTGTACAGGGGGTAATGGTCCTTGTAGAGCGACCAGTGCCACGTATAAGATCAGTTGCAGCGAATGCAGCCAGACGTACATAGGAGAAACATCCCGAAACACGTACATGAGAGGAAGAGAACATTTGAGGGAGTTGGACAATAGAAGTAAAGGTTCAGTCTTGTGGAGTCATGCAAGAGAGGAACACGAAGGCAAGATTCCTGATTACACGTGTGATGTTACAAATGTTTTCCAGGGGGACGCTCTACTCAGACAAGTGAGTGAAGTCGTACTTATAAACAAAGTGAATCCAGAAATGAACACGAAGAAAGAGTGGAACTTTGCTAATATCCCGCGTGCTAGAATTAATTAGTAAATTAATTAGTTGTTTTGTATGCGCGCTCACCTTTCTCGTTTTGTGTTGGTGCGCGCGCCTTTAGTGCGCGCTACCCATCAATGTTTGTTTACGAATTTTTCTTCAACTGTTGTAAAACATATAGTGAACTGAAGAGGTTTTTAATAAACGAAACTAGTTTTCACTATTCTTGGTGGTCCCTGGCCGGTACGTGCGAAAATCGTGGAGTGATTTACATTTGTAAAGTTTATGGCTGTTACAAGATTTTTTGAAGTCTCGGCGAAAGCTGTTTGTCAAAGATGTTATCAAACTCTTTGAGCTAAAATAATACCGTTTGAGCCCCGGGGGGTACTCGACCTCGTTTTGGATAGGTACGTGCCGCCAGCGGTCTAAAACCCTTACCCTGTTTAAGACACYAGAAAGTAAAAATCCATACCCTGTTCAAGACAAATCGGAAAAATAAGGAATAGCTATCTACGCCGCAACCATCAAAACTGMAATTATACTTACATCCATCAAAGACAATAAGAAGTTTTTGATAACACGTTAATTCTGGGACAGTGAAACGGTATTTCTACTATTTCTACGGTGTCATGAAAATATCACCCTGTCCAAGACACACACAAAGATTATATCGGTCTCTTTTATCTAAATAGTAGAGCCTGTTCAAGACAATTTCGGGTGAAATGTATACCCTGTTTAAGACAGCAAGGCCAAAAACCATACCCTGGCCAGCGGCACGTCCCCGTATAGCAAATATATGGGAGTAACCCMAGGAAACTATGTAAAAGCAATAAAACTATATATTGTAAACCCGGCTCAGAGTTTGCTAACAAACTCATTATCAGTATTAACTCCAAACAGTTGTGTAAAAAGATAAATTTAACACCGTAAAAAAAGTATGTGAAATAACTTACCGACGTTTCGGACGTTAATCCTTCGTCGGAGTTTTTATACGGTGTTAAATTTATCTTTTTACACAACTGTTTCTTTAGAAACACCGACGCAGCTCACACTAGTTTACCGCTAGTTCCCACCATTTAACTCCAAACATTTGATATTTGCAGAATGACTTACTCCAATCATATGGCAAACAGCGACACAAAATCCAATGGCCAAAGGAACTTCATACCCATAGTGATTCCTCTTAGGATCGGTACAAGCAAATATGGTCAGAACTAGTAGAAATGTTAACACAAACTCTATCCCAAACGCTTGACCAACATCTACACCATCGCCAGGAACGGTAACACCAAGGGTCCCTCGCTTTGTTGCTGGAGTTAGCCCGTATAATAACGCCGATCCTAAAATTCCTGAACAAAAACAATTAAATCCTGAATGAAATATACCTGTGTGTGATTTGTAAAAAACTGATACCTATTGTTTACTACAAGTTAAGGCTATATACAATGCGCTTTTCAGTATGTTTTTAAAGTTCTTTGAAATGGCTGCATTAATCGACGCCACACTGCACAGGTGATCCGGCCAAATCAAATTCAGATTATTAGTAAAATTCTRTTGCGATAAACCAAAAAAAATAAATATGTACGCTGTGTTCTAATAACCAATTCTGAACTACATAACTTAGTAATAACAGCAATAGTTGCAATATAGTTAGCAATAGTTGCTCCTTAAGGAGTCTTTTATTGATAAGCTCTTTTAAGAGTTAAAACTCCTTACGGTTGAATGATTCCACAAACAATTGCGACACTAGTAAACAAACATAAAAATCCACGGAACAAGTGTTTTTTGCATATATTTATATTACAGAATCACATATAATTTTTAGATTAAACCAGGAAAAAAACTATCTTTATCAAAGTAAGATGTCATTCATGAAATCGAAATTAAGCACAGTTATTTTCTAATAGAGTCTAGGCATTAAGATGATTTTTATTTTATGTACCATTTCCAAACCAATCCAACTTACCTCCGNCTAAAAAGATGGGACGATTCCCCCGAGACATTCTATGAAGCTGAGGCGTCGAATCGGCTTACGTTACGGTTAGAGATTTCGGCTCTTCCACGCTATCCCGAGTGAACATAAAACTTAGTCTTAACCAAAAGGCCAGGGAGTGAGGGGGTAGCCGCCCACTAGAGCATACCTTTAGCTACCCTCTTAGACCATCGTACTATGAAGTCACTGATAGATATCTAATACCTAATCGGGATAGTCTATTCGGTGAAGTTCTATGCTAATATATGGCGTCATCACAATCCTTAGGGAGCAGCCAGCCAATCAGAATTCAGCAGCCACAGACACAATTATCATATACAGCACTTCCACAATTAATCTTCAGTGTCATTTTATCTGATTAGGGGGGGATTAGGGGGGAGCGTCATTTACTCGATGGGGGGAGGGAGGGTAAGGAACGTCATATCACGTTCGTGATACGAGTGTAGGGATTCAGATAATCACAAGTGAAGAACTACGGATTCTGATGATATCGAAAGTTGTAGATCTTGTTTCTTGATGAAATTGTGCGTTTGGATCAATGGATTATTGCCAAAATTATTATCAACTGCTCATTTCTTGACACGTCAACGACTACATATATACAATCGCAAGGAAAAACCTGCCGATGACAACTTTAACTTGGCCACTTTAGAGTATTTTTCTTCATTCCAAGCTAAAAGGTAAATAGAGCTTTCTACTTGACCAAGAACTATAAATTAAAGCTCTAAGTTAAATAACAGTTGCTTTTACGAAACATGTCGATTGCTTAGAATTTTCTATCTTTCTATCGATTGGGTTTCCTGTGTTTCACATTAACATCATATTGGGTTGGCTGTGGTGTTGTATAGTTCTGGGCTACCTGTGTTATCTAATAGAATGGAGAAAAAATCTTCAAACAGCTACTATAATCACAATTATAAAGATTGTGTGATTATTGTTGTCAATCCGTGAAAGCAAAACAGGTGCARCGCGCGTGACTTGTACAATTGGCGCCAAGTCAGGATGTACTACGTCATGATCATGTGACACGTGACTAAATATAGACTACACAAAAGCAAATCGCTTGTATATCAACGTTTTGATAGTTGAAAAATAGAAAAAGGAGAATCGTAAATTCTGCTGTGATGTGGGTTTTCGCTTGTCTTAAGTTACTGCTGAAGCGAAGAGAAAACGACGATTTGGGAGTTAAAATGAAGGAGTCGATCTCTGACTCGGACAAGCTTGTTTTCGTTTGCTTGAAAACACTGGTTCCAGAGTTTTCTCTTCTTTT